TGTGTCTGTGTCTGTGCGTTCGCACTTTTTGTCACCCACTTTCAATTCGAGAACCAGAAAAGCTAGAAGGCTAAAATTTTTGGAGTATGTGCTCATACCATGTGTGACCCTCCCTTTTTAATTTCATCCCCGTCGGAAGTCTGGATGCCGTGTACGGGCGCTTTAAAAATATGAAAATTTTTTGGCGGGAAAGCGATCTCGGTAACCACATGAGCTTAGGGGCTGAAACTTTGTAGGAATATTTCCTGTGCATGTACTAGCTAAAGACTTCAAATTCAGCCCCCAGGTATGCGTGGTACTTACGTAAGGGCGTATGGAAGTTCTGGCGAAAAAATTTCTAACTCGGGAACCAGGAAAGCTAGAAAGCTGAAATTTTAGGGCAATATTCCATGTTCAAATACAACATAAATACTTCAAATTCAGCTTTCAGGTGTGCGTGGTTCTCACATGTGGGCACTTGAAAGTTTTGGCGTATTTCTTCATTTTTCATGGTAATAAATTAGTGTGACTGAGTTTGCTTGTAAAGAAAATGTATTCAGGTTGCTCGGCAAAGAAAAGAGCCAAATTCTACCAGCGACTATTCTCATCACTGATCAGCGAATGGATCCTGGCGCTTGGCGATGAAGCAAATGACGATGCCATCACCAGCAAGGATAAGGCTGTTCGATGGAAATTCGAGCAACTCGACATTAATAATAACACGGTTTGTTGATTTTTGTTTCTTCATGTTCCTCTCTAAATGTTAAATTTGCATCTTGTGAAAATCGCTCTTCTGCATATCCTAGCCTGACCGCAAAATTAGTGATTTTAGCGACTGGAGCGAAAAGAGTGGAAGCCTTATCGAAACGAACTGCGCTTATTGAATAAAGTTCGAAAATGCGGACGAAATTTTTTGCGTTTCTGTGACCGCGATGGGAACAAACAAATTACGCTGGATGAATGGCTGAGCTGTACGATCTATGGTTTGTTTCCGCAATTCATTTCATTCATTTTACACTCATTTCATGGATGCTTGGGAATTACAAATGTATCGGCAGCCCACCCCAACAAAAAAGGAGTGCACCTTGAACACAGTATTTAGCAAACAGACCGGTGGTAATCCCCGACTGGAGCCCGTCTGTAAAAATTCTGCTTTTTCGTGTTTTTGCTGTCAAGTAAGAGCTAAAAGCTAAAAACATGAAGCAGAGGCACTCGGAAATAGCTTGAGTGGTAGCAAGTGCCGACAGCAACCACTCTTTGGCAAGGCTATTGGTGGCTGCACCATCCGAGTGTTGCCTGCGGGTTTATCCTCTAACAAGTGCCTTCACCAATTTACCATTGAACCGAATGAACCAGCCGTAGAAATGGAAACCTCTGTTGTCGTTCGCTTAGATTAGGATTTATGCGCTAAATTCAACGGTCTCGATGCGGTATTTCATCTTGTTTTTTGACCCAGCCCCTTTCTCCTCTGACTGGATTTTGCATCATTCTTGTTAACTTTTTCCTATCCCACCGAATATATCGAATTTTATCTCAGTGTAGTTGGTCCCTCGTTTCTCACCTTCTCATGGCGAATGACTTTGCTTCATTCACTCCTTCTCTTTTCTAAGTGCAAACAGTGGAAGCCTTATCGCTACCGGCACCGGTTTTTTCGGCAAATGCTTCTAGCTAAGCAAATTAAGACTGGCCGCCAGAACTGTCAGGTAACAGCCCCCTAAAATTTCGGCCTCCCACCTTTCCTGGTTCCCAAGTTAGCTATTTTCTCGCCAGGGACCCTCACTGGGCCGTACTCAGGAGCCACGCACGTCTGGGAGCTGAATTTGAAAACTTTGAGTTCTATTTGGACGGGGAACATGACCTCAGAGTTTCAGCTTTTTGACTTTCCTTGTTCCCAAGTTAGCAGTTTTTACATCGAAACTTTTACTCTCTCGTATGCGAGGCCCAGACTTGTGTGAGGATTGGTACCGCGGTGCAGGGGTGGTACTTGGCCATTGGCAAAATTTTGGCACCGGAGCTTGCTTGGTTGCCGATTTGAAATACTCGGACAGACGAACACACATGCACATGCACAGAGAGACAGGGTCGTCGCAATATGCGTTTTTGCAATTTGCATATAAGCAAAAACGCATAAAAATAAGAAAGTTTTAGTTCACTGGGACCACGTATTCGATTCCTTTTATCGATTTAGGTTTGATTGCACCATTTGTCTAGATCAGACTGCGTTTGCTGTAATTTTTTGCTGTAAATTTTATGATCAGAGGAGAATAACGAAGCAATTAAAGCGAAAATAAGTAAAAAGATATGCAGATAGATGTGTTTTAGTGGATACAACAGTTCCATCGACGCCGTCAACGAAGACCAAGGTAGCGCTGCCCCGGAAAAATCCTTTCCTGGACATCCTTCGACCAGACGATTAACCGCTGGAGCTAGTGGATGAATTTTCCTAAGCCGGAGCTTTAAATGCTCTGCTACTAATAAAGAGTATGTGTACAACAGTGTTTTGTGTCTGTAGCAATGTGTGTAGCGAGTGATTCTCATTAGCGAGAGGGTAGGACGGGTGCTAGCTGGTATTTGTAAATCCCGATATTTTCAAACAAGTATAATCAAACTCCTAACCAACAAACAACAGCATCAGTCTAGGTAGTTCATCGAAATTGAAGAGATGTTAGGAAAAAAAGTGCTGTCCTATTGTTTTGGAAATACAGTTTCGGACCAGAATCACTGTTGCCTTATTTACCGCCATTGTTTTGCATTCAGAATTGAAACACTTAGTAAGAATCTTCTCTGCGTTTGATTCATCAACAAATAAAGGTGCGATTTGAAGGCCAAAGACTTGCTTCTACCACAAACTAGAACAAAGATGACATCGATTTTTATCCCCAAAAGTTGCTTCAAAGTAAGCTGAAAGTCGCTTTGAGTAGCCGAAATAGTGCAGATTTATCAAAGAAACGAGAAACAAAAATAATGAGGACAAAGTTTCAACAACCCTGATTTCCACATTTTATTAATTGGTCCCCAG